AGCTTATTTGGCTTCCAGGTTACAGCTCACCATTGAGGCAAGCCAAGTCAAGAACTCAAGGCAGAGCTTGGAAGCAGAAACTGAAGCAGAGACCACGGAGAAGTGTTGCTTACTGGCTTGTCTCCCCACACTTGCTCAGCTACCCTTATGCAGGCCAGGTCCACAAGCCCAGAGATGGTACCGCCCATGGACATCCTTCTCCTAGGAGTTACGACTCAAGTCAACTGTCCTCTTCTCTGGACCCTCCCTGATACCCAGTGTGAGGATCCAAGTTTGAACTCCTAGCATCCTAGTAAACAGCCAGGGTTGCAAGATGTGCCTATAACTTCAGGAGTGAGGGGTGGCGTAGGAGGGGGTCACTGGGATTGCTAGCTGCCCTCCCCATTCCAGGCTCCAGGTTCAATAATGGAGCCCATCTTAAGAAAATAAGGTTGACTGTAAGGTTCTCTTTGGGCCTCTGTACTCGTGTAGGGATTCATAAACCCCCGACACACACACACACAAAACCAAATAATTAAACCATCATCATTCCTAGGAAAGAAAAATCTAAATCCCAGTCCTTCTCTGTTCACTCATTTTCAGAATAAGAGGGACCAGAATCAGCCATCCAAAACCAACCCTGAAGCATATATTACTCGGCCTTATATTATGTACTGTGCCTTGGGCTTTGTGTATAGGACACCAGCAGACCACAGCATCAAAGAGTCCGGTTTGTGAACCTTAAAGTACAGGGAGCAACAGAGAGGACAGACATGATCAAAGCACACATTACATGCATGTGTCAAAGTGTTTCAACGAAATCCACTGTTTTGTACAATGAGTGGAGACCAATTAAAAAAAGACAGTTGTAGGGCACTTGAAAGAATTTGGGGGAAGACATGGTCAAAAGATTTTTTTCCTTCCCTATTAGCATCTATAATTAATGACATCTGCCCCAATCAAACTCACTTTGTCCCTAAGGTAAGCGTCGAATTGCTGCTGCTCCTCCTCCACCTCCCAAATGCTGTAGTACTGGAATCACAGCCTGTACTACATAAGCCACCAGAAAAATACGTATTTTAAGAGAAAACACCTTATTTACAATGACTTCAGCAGATTTGCCAGGGGCCTCCACTGAGATGATCTGATGCGTTTGTGAAAACCCAGGTGGATCCAGTTTGCTCCAAACCACAATGTCTGGAGTATCTATGAGCAAACCACAGGCACAGAAGTAAACCCCAGAAACTAGGGAGAGAAGTACTTCTTGGCTTATGATTACCAGAGTCAGAACACTTCCAGTTATCCCTTAACTGTAGCTGATGTGCCAACCATCCTGGCCACCTACCTGCTGCCAAGGTCAGAGATTGCCATTATACCAGAATCTGTCAACTCACTTCTTTCCCAGTGAACCTTGAGAAGGCAATTGGTGTATAACATGAGTGCTGGCTTGTTGGGATTGCTGTCCTGCCCGGTACCCCACAACCGGCAAGTCCCAGAGAAAATCAATCACACAGAGATCTCTTTAAGTTATAAAGCTGATTGGCCCACTAGCTCAGGCTTCTTGTTAGTCCTTGTAACTTATATTAATCCATTATCATTATCTATGTTAGCCACACGGCTCAGTACCTTTCTCAGTGTGACAGCTCACATGTTGCCTCTTCGGTGATCTGGATATGAATGGCGGAGGGAGCTTCCTGCTTCCCAGAATACTCCCAGTCTCTTTGCTCCACCTCCACTTCCTGCCTGCTTTCCTGCCTATAGTGCCTGCCTGGCCAATCAGCGTTTTATTAAAATACATGATTGACAGAATACAGACAATTCTCCCACATCAAATTGGTGAGAAGAGGCTGTGCTGTTGAAAGAAAACACAGGGCGGGTAGTTCTGGTAAGGGCCTTTGCATCTTTCCCAACTGCTGCTGTTTTTACAAATACACACACACACACACACACACACACACACACACACACACACATTTTCTTTGAGGGCGACTGGGAGATGGAGAGTGTTCTGCTCTTGAAAAGGACCCTTGGTTTCTAGCAGCTCACAACCAACTCCAGCTCCAGGGGATGATGCCCTCTTGTGGCCTCCGAGAGCATCTGCATTCACATGTGCAAACCCGTCTCCACACAGTTAAAATAAAAATCTTCTAAAACTATTTAAAATTTTATTTGCAGGCAGGAGTTTTTTTTTTTCTTGCTTGTATGTATGTGCAGCACATATATGCCCAGTGCTTGGTGCCTGCAAAATCTAGAAGAGGGGGTCAGATCCTTTGAAAGCAGAATTACAAATGGCTGTGAGCCACCTCGTGGATGCTGGGAAACAAACCGGGATCCTGTCCAGGATGCCCTAAAGTGTTATTTACGTGGGGGGGGGGGGGGGCGACTCACATATGCCATAGCACTTTTGTGGAGGCCAGGGGATAACATTCAGGGGTTGGTTCTCTCCTTCCGTCACATGGGTGCAAGAGTCCTAGCTCAGGTCATCAGGCATGGAGGCATGCTCTTTACCTTCTGAGTCATCTCACAGGCCCGTATACATACGTACGTGCGTGCGTGCGTGCGTGCGTGCGTGTGTGTGTGTGTGTCTAGAAGACACAGGTTGCGTGTAACTCAGTGTATTGCAGAATGAAGAAACCGACTTTCAGTGGGTATTGTACGGATCAACCTGCAGTTTCAGTCTTCAGGAGCACGTGTAGCCTAAGCTAGACCACAACATGTGCAAGCTCTTTAAAACAGACAGGTATTTTGTTTTTCCAGTGTTATGACCTGTGTCCTCATAGAGTATCTTTGCTATTTCTCAGAATGGATTTTCCTCAAATCAGATCTAAGCATCACTGACTAGAAAAGCATCATTGAGGGAGGAAGCCTAATTAATTACTTTAGAAGACACTTCCAGTCTTAGGGCATTTCCTCCCCTCCCCCAACGGGCTTCGCTGGCTAAGAGTATTACAGAGCGATGTCTCCACTGACAGCTTTAATCATCTTACAGCCTGTTTACTCCAGTACCATATTGTCTTCTATGCTGTAACTTCACCTCTTTCATGTATGTTTCAAAACGAACGTGGGCCAGACGAGGAGAAAGCAAAGCCACCGCTCGGAAACGCAACCGCGCTGTCGAAAGGAAAAAGAGAACCCTGAACTCGCAGAGGTATCATTGGTCCTCTCATTCATTCCTTCTGCACAGTGGGGGCATATGTATCGGAAAGCAACTGAAGCCTCCACCCAGGAGTTTGGTGTGCTAACTTCCATTAATAACGCGAGTCCGAGAAATGAGCGATGCAAAGAGAAAAAGCAAAGCCAGCCTGGGAAATAGGAAGAGCATCTGAGGAAGAGTCCCAGAGAAGGTGTAGATGCCAGCGCTGTGGCCAACGTTCTCTGTGACAACACCAGCAGATGGGTAGCAAATTAATGTAAATGAAGAGACCAACACAAGTTGGAGAGATGGCTCCGTGGTTAAGAGCACTGGATGCACTTCCCAAAGACCCAGGTTTCGTCCTCGGCCCAACCCTTGGTGCCTTTGCTACTCGGGTCCCAGGGAATCTGATGCTATGACCCTCAGGCACTGGGCATGCCAGTACTACACATGTAAATATAGACAAAACACCCAAACATGCAGGAAAAAAAGTTAAAGACCAATATGATTTGTGGATGTCGTCCCAGGATGGGTGGTTTTGCAGAGCCATACTAAGCTCAGAAAAACACTGTTTTGCCTCAGGCAAGGTCAACTGCTGCAACCCAGCAAGCCCAGAACAAACCTTGACAGGCTCTGGCTGAAATCCTAAGGCGGCAGGAAAAAGAGGGTTCCACTTGTAAGATTTTAAAAAACGATTTATTTACTTTTATTTTTGTGTGTACTTGTTTTACCTGCATGTATGTCTGTGTGAGGGTGTAAGGTAAAATCCCCTAGAACTGCATTTAGACTTTGTGAGTGCTAGGAATTGAACCCGGGGCCTCTGGAAGAGTAACTAGTGCTCTTAACCACTGAGCCGTCTTTCCAGCCCCTTTACACTGTAAGATTTATTCCTCAGAAAACTATGATGAGATCTGTGTGACCATCAGCAGACGAGTCCCCTGGAGGCGCCTCATCCTAAAGCAGAGCAGTGTGGCATTGAAACACCGACTCATGACCTACACAGAGTAATTATCCATAAAAACAGCTCCTTCTATTTAAAAAGGGTCAGGATGGCTCAGTGGGTAAGGTTGTTTGTCATCAAGCCTGATGAGTTTAATTCCCAGAAACCACACAGTAGGAGAGAACGCCAGCACACACACCCAGGAATGCATGAACATGCCCACTCAAACACACAATAAAGGTAAAGAAAAATAAACAGAGAAAAAGTAACGTAAGTGGAGCTCTAGACAAAACTCTATACAGTCTTTACTCTTGCCAAGAACTCACCCACAGCTAAGTGCTTCGTTCCTGAGCAACACACTTGGCCCAAAGTGAATCTTTGCTTTTTTTGGGGGGGGGGGTGGCAGACTGGCAGGGGAGGGTTTCCAGTGTTCCTTCATGTAACAGCCTTGGCTATCCTGAAACTCACTCTGTCGACCAGGCTGGCCTTGAACTCAGAAATCCACCTGCCTCTGCCTCCTGAGTGCTGGGACTAAAGGTGTGCACCATCAATACCACCTGTCAGTGAATAATTTTTAAAAGAAGTACATCATATGACACACGAAGTCCCTTCTAAATTCCCACAGCCAAAATGTAAGCCAGACCTGGTAAAAGAACCCTTCGTAAATCAGCGACACAAGAGCGCCACCTTGTGTCAAAGCTTCTTCATTACACCCAGCTCTTCAGGCCAAAGACCACACTTGGGACTCTCACCATTTCTTACAGAATATAGCTTTATTTATAGAATCTTACAAATAAAACACTTACAGTCCACATGACATAAGTTATTTTATTTTCTAATTCTTCTCGTAACACCTGAGTTATTTTTTTTTTTAGAAAAAAAAAAAAACACTGTGATGTAACTGTCGAGGGAACTTCGAATAAAATCCTCTTTCTTTTTGCAAAAGTCACCCGGCTTATCTGCATCTCTTTGGAAGAGGGCTCACTAAAACCGGATCCGAGGCGATCCAAACAGAGAGGCTGCTTAAACCCAGGGCGAAGGGTGACTGAAGAATGCTCCCCTTGCTGACACCAGACACTAAATATTGGGGGGAGGGTTGGGCGACAGAAGGTGTGGTCAGGGATGAGGTGTGAGGTGACAGAGCCCTCTCCCTGGCTAAGGGTGTGACAAGCACTTTCCTTGCGAGCCTTAGCAGGAGGCTAAGGAAAGCGACAGGCAATAAGGCCAGTGGCAGAAAGTCCGCTAAACAACTCGCCACCCCTTGGACTTCTAATATGCACAAAATGCTTAAAACAGCAAGTTCAACCTTTGAAAGTCAAAAAAGTTCAGTGGGCACAACTTAAAATGCCGGGCAAATCTGTTGCCAACAGCAACCGATCATCAGCTGGACTGGAGCAAACCCCCACCATGCTCCACCTGAGTCTGAAGGATGCGGCCCACTGCTCTGAAGAGGCTCCCGTATTTCCCTTTAAAGGCAGCTGTCTGCACAGAAAGTTCTCGAGTTCCTGTGAAGCTGCATGGCAAGCACTCCGTCTCATGTGGAAGGCTCTACTTTTAAGCTTTTCTAAACAAACTAAGCCGCCGTCCTCCTTCAGCGTGAAGGGTACTCAAGGAATAATAGCATCTACAGGGGAGTCTAAAATTAAATTATAATACACAAACATGAACTAAGCAAAGCAGAATCTTTCAATCTTTTTGTGGGGTAGTGGTACTGAGAATGAAATTCAGGGTGTCACACACACACACACACACACACACACACACACTAGGCAAAAGTTCTGCTACTGAGCCACACCCTCAGCCCACACATAAAATAGGATTAAGTTTTATGTTTTTATCTTCCTTTTGTCTTGCTGACACAGGATCTCACTACATAGCCTAGACTGGCCTGCAATACACTCTGAAGCCCGGGTTGGTGTAAAACTTGCCTCCTAAGTGCTGAGATCACAGGTGTGAGCCACCACACCCTGCTCAGGCTTAGACTTTGTCAGTTTCTGTCAGCTCCGGAAGCAGTTGTTGGAAAAATAAAACAGAAAAGACAGAGACTTGTCTTCAAACAGCAACAGCAACAATGGCGACAATAACATAAAATATTAGATTATGACATTGAAGGAATTTGTTCTTTGGTAAAAGTGGACCCTAATCCTACCAGGATTGGTCCTGACATTCAATCTAGAACCTTAACTGCTGAAGCTTCCTCTTCCTCTTGCCTCTTCTCAAGAGCAGGAGAGACGCCCAGCAAATCTCTAGGTTTCCAGTTATGTTGTCAGGATTCCTGGTTTCAAGCATGTTTCCCCAAGAAGAGGAAACATATATACATATGTTCACACACACATATATGTTCCACATATGTGTTCACATACATATACATGCTGTTTTTAATGGACAGATTTCCTGTGGTAAGAACAGAAAGACTCAGGCGTTGGCAATGAACCAGTGTTGTCAGTCATGTGAGCAACGGCCCCTGGGCTGTGACAGTGGGCACCACTAAGAAAGGCTCCGGGAGAGAGTGGCTCCCCAAAGTGGCTAAGGAATCCATGTTATCAATATGATAATAATAAATTAATTCACTTAGTGAACCTGGAGATTAGCTCCCCTGGAAGCCAGAGTTCTGAGGAGAGGGCTCCACAGTGCCTGAGGCCGGCCTGTGGTGTGAAATGACAAGCAGAACCATCCGTTTTCCTGGGGCAAAAGAAAGCAGTTTACACTCAATTCAATTCAGGATTAATCTTGTTGTCTGGGGCCAGGGAGGAAGTGGGAGCTAGACAGTGTGCCCTTTAAAACCCATTGGCAGCAGTGACGTCTGCAGCCCTGACCTGAAGGTTTGACCTCAAGGTTGGGAGTTCCTTGGTATACAACTATTATTTCTGCAATTAGCAAGTCCTAAGTTTGGCCAGCACGGACTCCATTTCCGGTTACCTTTGTCACAGTAAGGCATAAACAACTGCATCCCGATACTGGGTCAGGTTCTACTTGGCAGAAGTCTAGACCAGGGGAGATTAAATGTGCAGTTTCCCCTCTAATGCAAACATCTTAAATGTGCTTCTAGTGAGGCATCTAAAAAGTATCTAGAAAAGGAAGCCAAGAGGGTGTGTGTGAAAATCAGGGCAAAATGAATTGGTTTGGCGCAGACCTTGTGCCACTCCAGAGGGCATCCACAGTGGCTCGCCTGGCTGACTCTGTGACACAGATGCTGCGCACATCAGCATCCAGCATCCTAGAGGGGGCCAGAGAGCACCAAGGAGACAGGACATCCACCGTCAGTTCTCCTTGTCCCTCAAGGTGAACCCCTGACTCATCTGCTCAGCATGCCAGTCTGCACAGACTGAGAACAAACGAGATTCCTATCTTCTGTCCTTTCTCTGTAAAAACATAAGAACCCATGTCAAGATGGACCGACTTCAAGCCCAGGGTACACACGTTCAGAATCATGGGCTCCAGAGCTGGAAACCACCCTGATATTTCTAACCACACCATGACCATTGGCTTTGCTTTTACATTGTAAAAGATTCAACATCTCTCAGCGCTTCCTCCAAGAGAAAGAGACAGACGAGGGTGATCAGAAGGAAGAGAGGTGTGTCCTACACGAGGCATTTCAGTTCCAAAATCATCTGTGAAAAGGGTCGGGGAGACGGTTTGAGGCACTACCTAGAGAGTCCCAGGGCAGGTTCTTCCCAGGACAGAACGTTTTCAAACAGCTGACATCTGAATGCAGGCAGGCAGTGTGTGCCAGTCTTTAAAGAACTACCTCATCTATGATGCTTCATGAATGCTGAGTCCTCAGGCCAGGGACATTAGGCCCAGAGTCCGATGTGCAATGCCACTGGCTCCCCACCGGCAGGGTCCTACCCAATCTGAATCTGCCCTGAATACATTGTGAGGACCAGCATGATGGAGAAGCCGGTCAGGAGGCCAAGATTCTGGATGACAAAGGGGACCAAGAAGCTGTCCTTCCTTTCGTCCTCTTGACAGACCTCGTTCATCTCCGGGAACTGAGGAAGGAGAGAAAAACCGAGAGTTATGGTTTCTGCTGTCATCTTACCAATGGCGCTGACTGGGACAAGTTATGGTTATGGTGTGACTCCACCCCGCCCCCACACTCCAATTTCTGGTGGTGGTGTTTAAGGTTCTGGTGATTTCTCTAGAGGAAGTTAAGTCATTGGGGGCATTATCTTTGATTGTCCCCTGTAGCTTGACAATGTGGCTGCCAGAAACAAGACCCGAACAATGCCAACACCAATGGCTGTATCAATGTGGATTGGGGGAAACCTCACAAAGCCCCCATAGATGAAGAATTATAAGCAATGACTACTCAGAGAGGGAGAATCAGACTTCCCCAGGGATGAGTCCTCTAATCGGATATCAAATGCTCATAATACACACAAGCACCACTAAATAGACGCAGCAGTTTGTACGTGTTTGTATGTGTATAATATATATGTAATATATATATATACACATATATATAATGTCTCAATAATAATTAGCAAAAAAGAGGCTATGAATTTGAGAGTGAGCAGAGTGGAGAGGATGACACAGGAGGAGTTGGAAGGAGAAGAGGCAAATGATGCCAATACAGTGCTCATGTATGAAATTGTCAAAAAATTTTAAAACTTAAAAAGACATAGTTTACCATAATTTGTGATAGATTATTGGTGTAGGAGGTTCTTCTGCCTATGTGTTGCTTTCATTGGCTGAATAAAGAAACTGCCTTGGCCTTTTGATAGGGCAGACTTAGGTAGGCGGAGCAGACAGAACTGAATGCTGGGAAGAAGGAAGAGAGAGAGCTGCCATGGAGCTGCCAGGTCAGACATGCAGAATCTTTCCCAGTAAGCCACGACCTCGTGGTGTTATACAGATTATTAGAAATGGGTTAAATCAAGATGTGAGCATTAGTCAATAAGAGGCTAGACATAATGGGCCAGGCAGTGATTTAATTAATACAATTTCTGTGTGATTATTTCGGGTGTAAGCTAGTCGGGACGACAAGCAGTCCGCTCGTTTCTGTTATAGATTATAAGTAAATTCTTTCTCTTTCACTCTTTCTTTTTGCCTACACATTACGCCTCTTCTACCAAATTTAAATAAGTACCCTGGATTGAGCACAATCAATTTTTCTTAGTGACATGGTAATAGAGGGACCAAAGTTCTCCCTTTAAAATCCAGTGACATGGGCTGGAAAGATGGCTCCGTGGTCAAGAGCACTGGCTGCTTTTCCAGTACTCCTGAGTTCAAGTCCCAGCAACCACATGGTGGCTCACAAGCATCTCTAGTGGGATCTGATGCCCTCTTCTGACATAAAAGCACACATGCGGATAGAGCACTCATATGCAAACAATGACTCCCTGGAATAGTTTACAGCCATGCACCCAGCACGGCTGAGGCAAGACTGCAATGACGTCAAGGCCAGCCTGGGCTAAAAAGAGACTCTTGTCGCAAACGAACACGAAGAACCCTAATGCTGCCTTGAAAATGCTGGTTCTATCATCTTAGATTTTTAGAAATGTACTTGATGTGTCTAGGTATTTTGATCGCACGTATGTCTGTGTGCCACATGGGTGCTTGGGCCCCTAAGGGACAGAAGAGGTCGGATCCCCTGGAACTGTAGCTGCAGATGGTTCTGTGTCACTATATATGGATGCTGGGGATCAAACCTGGGTTCTCTTCCAGAGCAGCCAGTGCTCTTACACCCGAGACATCTCTCTTAAATCATCATCTTAAATCAGTGAATCGTGTGGCAGGTGAAAGAGACCTCAATAAAGCTGTTATTAAGAACAAAAATCATGGGCTGGCAAGATGGCTCAGTGTGAAGAAAGAATACTTACTGAAAAGACCGAGGTGCTGAGTTTGAGCTCAGGAACCCATAAAGAAAACCAACCCCCCATAAGCTGCTTTCCACAAGAATGAATTTGCACCCATACAAAAATCAACAGAAAAACAATTAAAAAAACAAACATTCTAACTTGTGCCCTTTCCCTCTTATTCAAGAGCCAATCATGAACCACACAGCACACTTACCATATCCGCTAGAGCAATGTACAAGAACATTCCTCCAGCCAGTGCAAAAATCCAGTTGGCAGAGAAGTGACTTCCAGCCAGGATGCCAAAGGCCAGACCCACGTAGCAGCAGCAAGCAGAAAGGAAGTTGAAGAAGAGAGCCTGCTGGATGCTCATGCCAGCATTGAGCAGGATAACGAAGTCTCCTACAACAGGGATGGGAACAGGACGGGAGCTGAGTCAGGACACAGAACACCATTGGATGAGACTGCTTCAACTATGCATGAAGTGTGGGTTAAAATCACAGACTCAAAGATGGTTCTGGGACGAAGGCACCTCCTCTTCCAACCCTGGCTATGGCCTCCCAGCATGGGTGCTGGAAATAATTCATAAAGTTTGGAAAGTACATAAATAACCAGTAGCGGCCTCGTTGCTCCCCACATAGAGGCTGGAAATAACCCATGGGATTTTAAAAGTAGATGGCCAACTAGCAATGGCCTCATTTCTTTTTTGACTGAGGGAGCGTGAAATAAAAATAGCTCCCTTTCTCCTATGGGGTGGTACACTCAGGAAACAAGACCGAGAGAGGGAGAAGTTAGTCACAAGACAGTAAGTGCCAAAGTTAGGACCCTGAGGTATCGCTGAGTCGTGAGTCCCTGCTTCTTAGTCTTCCTTGGTAAAACGATATCTATCCTTAAGTTCTGGTTTTTCTATTTCATTCACCTGCCACACTTTCACAGACTCCCAGCTTCTGCAAGAGGTAAAGGACATAGAATATGATCATCTTCACTGAGTAGCCAGAAAGGTGTATGGCACCTGGTAAGTCGAACATTTGCTTGCTTATGATATCCTAGATGATTCTAAAAGGCAGGAGCAGTTACTGACCACAGTACACAGGTGAGAAAATTGAGCCACAATATATGGGGCTCATGGGGTAAAAATCTTCCTGCGAAAGTCTTCCCCATTCCCCATTCTAAGCTGCATTCTACCCAGCCATTTTATTTTGGAAGTTAGAAAAAAACGCAGCTGAGGTGAAAGAAGAGGCAACAAGGGACAGGACACATGAAGGATGTCGCAGACAAAAATGGAGACAGTCGACCCAGAGGGATAGGGAGTGTGCACTCACCCAGCTCGTGTGGGAATTCCTCACAAAGAATGGCCACCGACGTGCTGATGCCTTGGAAAACAGACACGGTGAAGGAGGCACCAATAGCCAGGCCATCGATGAAATTGTGGAGACCGTCGCTCAGGGTGATCATCCAAGCCAGGGTACCAATATCAGAGTATCGGACCCCTTTGAGCCAGTAGCAAGCACTCTGAGATGCCTGCAGGTCCTATGAGAAAGCATAGCCCAGTGGACTTGAGACGACAGGTGACTCCGGTGAGCCTGACTCATCAAGGCCGTGGCTTCCTAGAGACTGCCCGAGGGGCTGGCCGCTACTGACCTGCACAGACATGGAGCTTACGATGACCTTCTCGTCCGTGCCAGGCGCCTTGCTGTCCAGCTCACTGTTGCAGTGCTGAGGAATCATGTGGTCCAGGTCCCCATTCTGCAGCTTCTCCATCACACCCTCCTCTTGGTCCTTCTTGGAAGGCAGAGTCTCGGAGGTAAAATGGTTGTGTCCGTGATGGTGCTAGAGAACGGAAAGGGATCGGCATTACCGAGCAAAGCCACCAGCCCAACACGGCACCCGCTCAGAGCACGCAAGCTAAGGCGTCTCGGTCCTATATCCCAAGGAAACGAAGCAGGCCACACGTGGGAATATGGGGAAAAGACAAGGACTTCCTATTAGACTAAGAAGTAGTGTCCTGATGTCACTCAATCCAGTGAAGTGACCACTACTTTCAGTACTTAGATTCCTCCTTCAAGGTGACCACGTGCATTCAACTCTAACAGGCAGTGACCCCATGCCAGGCACCAGAGGCCTCTTATTGGAGTTAGACCAGTCAGTGCTACTCCTGGATGCATGTTACCAAGCCTCTGGACTGGCTTCCACAGAGAGACTGCCGGGCTTACCCTGTAGTGCCTTCAGGCATTGCGAACCCCGCTGACCCATGTCAGTGTTTTCTGAATTTAGAGTTCCCCCTAGAACATTCCATCGCTACTCCCTGGGCCTCACCTCATTTTTCTGCTTCAGGAGCATCTTCAGGATCTTCTCTGTAAAAAAGAAAAGGTAGAAGCCCCCAAACACCACCGCAGACTTGGAGACATAATTGTCCTGAGGGTTGAAACCAAATGCCTGTGGGCCCAGGAAAAGAGAGTGAGTCTAGGGAAACAAGTCTTCATCGCTCCCCATCACCTGCTTACCGAGCTCTCCACTCTAGGAAAGAGGCGGCCTGGGGAGCTCTGCTGTCTCGCCAGCAAAAACCTAACCTTGACCTTCCCCGGATCTGCCAGCACTAGCTGGGTGAGTTGGGTATTCTCTTCTGATAACAAAAGACAGGCCAGTTTTTTCTTTTAGGATTTTCTGACCCTGGGGCTTGGAACCAGGACCTTATGCATGCTAAGGTCTAACATTCTACCACTAAGTTACATCTCCAGTCCATATATATATGTGTGTGTGAGTGTGTATAAATCATATGTTATTATACAACATGATATAAATCATATACATCCATATGATACACACAATGTGTGTGTGTGTGTGTGTGTGTGTGTGTGTATGTTTACAAATGTACATGTGGATGCCTGAATAGGCCAGAAGAGGGCATCAGGTCACCTGAGCCTGGAATTGTAGGCAGCTGTGAGCCATGTGTATGCTGGGAACCAAATTCTGGTCCTCTGAAAGAGCAGCAAGCATTCTTGGCTGCTGAGCCATCTCTACAGCCTGGAGCAGAAAAAAAACTGCAGGTGACTTTCTACTTTGTTTCTGTTGTTGTTGGTCTTTTTTGAGACGGGATCTCATGCCATAGCCGAGGCTAGCCTCAAACTCACAGCAATCTCCTATCTCAGACTCCTAGGTGCAGGATTATAGACTTGCGCTACCATGCCCAGCTTGACTTTCTTTCTTTCTTTGACTAGATGTCACTACACAGACCAAGCTATCCCAGACTCAGACACCAGCCTGCCCTACCGCCCCAGCGCTGGGGACTGGAGGCTGCTTTTCTCTTTTAATGGGGACACTGCCTTAATTTCTCTCAGTGTTTAGCCACACAAGCACTTAGCCATCAAATTCCACATTTAAAGGGAGGCCACTTGCATTTATTTTTTTGCCTCATCCAGTGTCCCTGGTTGATGTGCCCATAAATACAATGGGAAGTGGTTTGGTTATGATTGCTAAAAAAGGAAATCCATTCCGGTTCCACGGCAAGAATTGCAGCATTTTCCTGACCACAGAGCCTTGAGTGGACCACAAATCAAAAAAAAAAAAAAAAAAAAAAAAAAGGCAGTTACATCCCTGCAGGCATCCATCTTGGGGCGGTATAAAGCCAGGCCTACTCACACATTACTCACACATGCCTGCTGTTTCCGCAGTTCAGGAGGATGAGGCGGGAGGATTCCCCTGAGCCCAGGAATTTGAGGCTGGCCTACCCAACAAAGATTCCATCTCTTTCGAACACAGTAAAAATATTTTTTTGAAAAGAATGAAGTGGAGGGTATGTTCCCTTGAGTTCCTGCTGGAAACTTCATTTATTAAATAAGGGGGCAAAGCATCCATCGGCACAGAAGACAGGAGTAGCCAGAGGCCTGCCCTAAGTCGGCTCCTGTTTTATGGTACCAAGTGCGCATGGCCTGTTTGTCTCTTTTCTAACAGAGAACAGGCTCAGTAAAAACATCGTTCCCGGCACTCAGGAGGCTGCGGCAGGAAGACAGGACATCTGAGACCATAGAGTGAGACTGACTCAGGAAAAAACTCCAGCCGAGTGGTGGTGGCGTGAGCCTTTAGTCCCAGCACTCGGGAGGCAGAGGTTGGCAGATCTCTGAGTTCGAGGCCAGCCTGGTCTACAGAGTGAGTTACAGAACAGCCAGGGCTACACAGAGAAACCCTATCTCGAAAAACACAGAAAACAAAAATTAATTAATTAAAAATGAAAAAGCCTCCAGCTCTCTCTCTCTGGAACAGGACACAGACAGACGCTGCTCCTCCTGATGGGGAACCCCAAAGGCAAGCGTTTTCCTTTGGGTGTTAAAGCACCTCACCCAGTCCAGCCCTCTAGCATCATCTAAAAGACCCGGAGGGCAAATGCCAAAGCTCTGTATTCAGGTGAGCTCTCCTGGAGAAGAGGTGCACCCTGGGGGGAGAAAAGCAAAGAAAAAGAGCCAGAGGGCAGGGTGGGATCCAAAGTACGGGACCCATTGGACTCATGGGTCCCAGACTTGGGGCAGTGGCCTCTCGTCAGGTCAGACTCTGTGGGTAAAACCTGACTAGGTCTACAGATATCACGGCGGCTCCACTAGGAACACAAAGCAATACTGTGGAAAACACACTGCTCCAGAAGCATGTGAAATTGTCTCTTGCCTTTGCTCAGGCCTGTCAGACCACCTACAGTGAAATGCCTTGTGCTTATTATATAATTAGCAGGTCTACTAAATCAGATGGAATGTCTCCGAAGCTTCAACGTCTCCCAGGCTCAAAACACTGACACCCTTCTCTTTTGTGGAAGATCACCCACATGAAGGTGCCACAGACATTCTATTTCCACTGAGTTTCCTCTGGTCTCAAACTCCCTACCAAAGTTTTTACTGAGACCTATGGATTCTGTTGTGGTTTTGTTTCTTGAACCAAAGACCCACACTGAGAGTCAGAGCTACACTAGCTTGCTTTTTTTAAAAAAAAATTATATATATATATATATATATATATATCTTACGTGTATGAGTGTTTTGTCTGCATGTACATATGTGTACCACTAGTGTGCCCGGGGCCTGTAGAGTCCAGAAGAGGGTATCGAACCCTCTGGAACTGGAGTTAGTTTGTAAGCTCCGTGTGGGTGCTGAGAATCAGACCAGAGCCAGGTCTTAACCACTGAGCCATCTCTCTGGTCCTAAGTGGCACTGACTTTGCACTCAACAGTCCCAGCAGTTTGGAAGCACTGGTGCCTTTGAGGTCAATCCTACTGTTTGCCATTATATACAAAGAACAGGGAGGAGAATGGCTAGTCCAGGATGTAGGATCCAGAGACAGGAAGGATAATATTTCAACCTAGTTCTTCAACCTCTCCTAATGCCTGCCTCTGCCCTAGCTTTCCTTTCTAAACAGAAAGGACCTTGGTGGCTAGTCCCTACTCCTTCCATGTAAGCGGAGGGGCCTCCCCTGTGCCTACTGTCCCCTAGCAGACAGGGGATGCTTTGGGACGAGAGCTGCAGCTTGCCATACCTCGGGGATGAGCTGGAAGAGGGCGTTGGAGTAGAGGGTTCCAATCGCCAAGGCTATGAAGTAGAGCAGCAGCCTCTTGTAAAAAGTCTTCTTCATGAAGGGCACCACGCTGGCCCCCATGAGGGAGCAGAGGGAGATGACGGTAACGCAGAGGAAACCGTACCCCCATACTGCCAGCCCACCCAAGGCAGGGAGCAAGGCAACCACCATTAGGGAAAGGAGATGGAGAGGAGAGTGTGGGTATTAACAGGGGGACCCGAAAAGAAAAACCAGAGACAAGTAGGGAGGGAGAGAGAAACGGGAAACTTGTTAGCGATTCGAGTCTGATGCAATTTCCTTTAATCAATGCAGGAGGGTATGAGGAGGAATCTGAGGTGGCCTTGGAACCCTGTGACTACTGCCCCTGCTCCTGAGGTGGCCTGGGTCATACCCACCAGCTGGTGTGACCGGAAAACGGCAGAATTCTGCATCATCACACACCACCCTGTGCTCAGGGCCAGCACAGACTCTGGGCTCAAGGTCTTCTGACAGTGCAGGGAGGCAAATGGAAAGAAAATGTTCGGGGTGTCACTGGCTTTGCTCCTGTATACTTAAGCCATGTCACAGAGGCACACGTGACACTACCCAGGAATGGTTTGGTTTGTGCAGGGCAGAACAGGTAAGACTCGTTGCCCATCAGATTTGGTTTCTGAACACTTGTATTTGTTTGTTTCTATTTGCTTTGAGAGAGACTCAGTGTAGAAAGCAGAGTTCCAAGACCAACCCTCCTAGAAATTTATTTCAAATGCATTTTCCAAGGTGACACACTACGGGTTGTGAGCACAGCCCTCGGGAAGGGCTGGCACAAAACCATACCAGGATGGCAACCCTCGTGTGACCCGAATGGCGGAACACCGACAAAGGCAGTAGTGCCAGCCAAACAGGCAATGAAACAGTTCATTTCAAATCCTTAAAAAAAAAATTAGTAAATTCAATGAATGGAGCTAAAAAAATAGCCCAAGATGAGGTATCCCTTGGGAAGAACTTTCTAGATCCATGTGGACTTTTGAGACCGTTAAGGGAGCTGACCTGCTCACTTCTTCCCTCATGATGAAGGAGGAAGCAGATGGGGCATGGCACCTCAGATGGAGGCTTCCCTGGGTCAGGCTCTTGGTTGAGGAGGGTGGGCAAGCCAATGACGTGAGTTTCTATGAAAGCTTTCCTACCAAAGGGGTCAAGCAGGCAGCTACATACTGTTTCTCCAACAGTAGCACATGACTGGGCTGAAAAGGTGGGCGGGCTGTCATCTTGGGGCTTATTTTTGTAGCTCCTCAGTGATGACGATTGAAAAACAGAATTACTGAACATTTCAAAACAGTGGGGTGAGTTACCAGCAAGCCAGACCTGTCAGGGAAAGATCAAGATGCAAGGTACCAACGATTGAGTTCATCTTTATGTATTGCATTTGTTTCTTTTTTCAGTTTGTTTTGTCTTGGTGGGAACAACATAGTTGCTAAGTTGTCCCAAAGCTGTGATCCTCCTGCCTCAGATTCCCAAATGCTGCCACTGCAGGCATGAGCTGCCACAGCGGCCTTAATTACAAATCGGGCTCAGGCTTTCCAGGCCAGTTCTCCAGAGCCACTGTAACCTCCCTCCCTTTCATCCCGTTCCTCATGGATGGTCACCTGGAGTCCACACGTGACCCCTGGATTTTCCTTAGAATACAGGGCCTGCCTTGTACACCGCACCCACAAACCGCAACTTTCCTTTGGATTCCTGAAAATGAGGGTTCTGGAATGCAGCCCAAACAGATCCCCAAGAAGGGGCACACGTGTTAGGGACCTTGCATCTGATGTCACCTGAAGAGGCCAGAGGCCAACCTGAATGAACAGAGGCACGAGAGTAGTTATTGGACCCCTGATATTTAGAGTAAATTCATTTTTGGGAGCAGTTATTGGGTATTTAGAGGACAGAGGGAGAGCGCCAGCCGGAGGAGGGCTCGGCTGGGGCAGCCCAGGAGGAGTGGACGCGCGCCTGTTCTACTGCACCTCTGGGATGAGCTGGAAGAGCGCGTTAGAGAGCAGCGTTCCAATGGACAGGGCGATGAAGTAAGTGAGCACACGGCTGAAAAACGCTTTCTCCGTGCATGGCAGGACCAGGACTCCCAGGAGAGAGGCCAGGTTAATCAGTGAGACACTGAGGAACCCAAAGCCCCACACTGTGGAGGAACAAGAACAGACGAGGGCCTCCATTACTGAGGGCGGGCACTTCCGCTGCGGAGAGCCGTATAGGCACACAGAGATCCAGCAGCCCCTCAGCAAGTATCTGGTGACTCCGTCTCTTGCTAGGGAAGTCTCAGAAAAATGATGTCAATGCGGCTGTCAGAGCAGCTTGCCTTTTAGAGGAAGAGACTAGAGACCCAACAAGGAGGAGTAAGTACCATGACTTAGACAGTACGTGTACTTATGATGGCAGCACGTTAGGTCTGGTAGCCCTTGCTGCCTATATAGGATTTCAGAAAGGCTCTCAAGGACTCAAACAGGGTGAATCCACTCTAGCTAGATGGGTGGTACTAGGAGGTGGGGATAATGAAGTAGCCAAGGGAGGTCATAAAGGTTGGCACTCTCACATGCTGGCCACGGCCCAATGCCCTGTGTTCACCAGTCAGCCCACCCAGGGTCTGGCGATGCAGTGGAAGGGCCTGGCGCGCATATCAATCACCAAACTCCACCATCACTCCATTCCTCTTCCACTGCTTACTTACCTTCAATGGCGCTAGGCTTCCCTTCCTCTGACTGCTCATTTTCCTCATTCTCCTGGTTTTGGGAGGTGCAAGCCCGGGAATCCAGTTGCTGGAGGATGGTGGGGCAGAACTCCTGAAACTCACTCATCCCGATCTGAGAGTGCTCGCTGAAATTGTGGGCAGCGAAGAGGTCTCCGGAGCTAAAGCACTGAAACAGAGGAGCGGTGGGTGGAGGGGCTCGAACACGCTAGAAGTCGTGCCCTGCCCTGCTAAGCAGCAACACACTCAACCCTCGGAGAAATAAGGAGAAAATGGACGCTGCCAAATTGCAGCAGCTCTAGAAGACTCATCTCCGGGGATGAGATGAGTAAGGAAATCCCCACACTTGAAAAGGTGAGCCAGTCTGGACAGCTCAGCAAGATGCTCGCTCCAAGTGAAGAAAGAATACGGTAAAAAGAGTGCTGGGGGTTGTCATTCAGGCACAGCTGCCGTCTAGTACCCACCCGAAGGTCCAGGTCAATCTTATGGGGGTGGGGTGGCAGTGGAAGACAAGACTCCAATCATGTGACCAGGGCATGGTTTCAGACAAACAGGAATCTATCTGCAAATCCAACACCAAATTTGGCTGCCCGTCACAAGAGCCCAAGTAACTATTCTGCTAAACTGCTGATTCTAGAAACTTCTGTTGGGAGTATGGACCTGTGATGGTTAGCAATCATAGGCACCCGTCGTGACCTTGGGGAGTCTTGAAGATCATGGGAGATCAAACTTGTGGCTCACCCCGCCCCCTCTCTTTGTGCACAAGCCCGAGAGTCAGCCCTCTGGGAACACTAATAATATAATGACCTATATTTAGACCTACAAAGTTTAAGTGCTACACTCTACGAACCCCAGAATACTGCTGCAGACCCTAAAGCCCATGTGGCACACTCGGCCTCCCCAGGGATGCTGACACTTGTCACGCTTGGGCAACTCTGCTCGCATGCTACACAGCGCTCTGCTCCATCCAATTTCTCCTTTCAAATCCCAGCCTATTTATTCTTCTAGGTGTGGCTTCGGCATACCTCATATGCACAAGCCCTCAACTGTTCTGGCACCTTCGCTTCTGTCTCACAGACAAACCCCATAATTACAGTGCCGTCCACAGAAATGTGGCACTTTGTTTCCATTCCAGCTAGCTGAGCTCCTCAACTAAACCGTGGTATATGGGTCTCCTGCAGGAGCAGCCAGGGCTCTTAACCATGGAGCCCCCTGACTGTGACTTGTGTTTCTCACTTCCCACAATGCTCTGTCTGAACAACAAAGCAGAATATCAGGACTTTGCTGGCTGATCCCTCTTGGGTTGCCACAAATAGCCCCAGATTCTGTCTGAGTAGCTGTGATAATATAGTAGAACACTGATCCAAGAGCTAAGAGCCCCAGGTTTTAGCTGAGACTACAGACGAGACCAGCAAAAGCCTGAGTCTAGAGTCTCAGTCCCCATCCCAGGATGCTTTCACGAAAACAATTCCTTCTGTATCTGAAGGGACTGTGAGGTGCATCTGGTGCAGTGTGGGAACCACTAACTCCGCTGGCTGTGCTGTCCTGGGAGTCGCAGTCTGTGAGCAGTGGCCCGGGGGCAGCTGTACACCAACACGCAGAGTCAGGTGGCCTCACTGGACATACGGATGTGTCGACCCCCACAAAGCTTACCTGTGGAGAGGAGCCTTACCGTGGAGAGGTTCCTGTGTCCTTCCTTGGGCCGAGTAACGTTATCCCGGTCCACTCCCATGTCCAGGTTTTTGAGCAAGGCCTTCAGCTGCGGCAGCGTAAGCCTGTCATTCTCCCCATAGCGCTTCATGAGATCTTCCAGGAAGGAGGTGGCGCTGAGGGGCGGCACGGTAGCAGAGGAGGCCCGAGTCTGGGGGGCAGTTCCCCATATGCCAAACAACACCAACAGGAGGCAGCTAGGGAGGGTGCGGGGCAGGGGCTTCATGGTGGCCAAGTACACCTAGAAGAACACAAAACCAGGTGAGGGCAATGTCTCTATCTCTCTCGGCAACACTCAGTGACTTTCAACTCCTCACCCATGTGCCAAGGACAAGGGTCCCCTTCCCTCAGAGTAGGATGAACACGGAAGTGTGACATGGCCTCCCTCTCCACGTGCTCTACCTGGCTTTGGAGAAAGTCCTTCTTTCGAAGGGGCAAATGACAAGAAAAGGGACATACTGGGCACTGGGAACATGCCTCCTCCCATCACCTAGGAGGAAGAGGCAGGAGGATTGGGAGTTCAAGGCCAGTTTCAGCTACACGGTGAGACTGGGAACCTGTTCCCTGAATAGGGCGACGTAGGGGTGGAGAGCTTTCTTCAGGTGCCCATGTTCCTGTAAGAAACCCTAATAAAACTCACTGAGTCAAAACTAACACACACACACCCCAAATGGAGAAAGGGGTCCAGCTGGGAAGAGAAAGGGATTCAGCAGGAATGAGACAAGAGAGGGTACTGGAGAGTGAATACAGTCAGAATGCATTATATACATACATAAAAATGTCTTAATGAAACCCATTACTGTGTATAATTACACACAGTAGAGGGTTTCGTTATACTAATCAAACAATGTGCTAATAAAAATGTATTGTTTTCTGTATTTGGGTATGCTGGCAGCATCTATGTCTATGCACCGTGTGCATGCCTAGGCGTCCCCAGAGACCGGAGGAAGGGTATCAAATCCCCTGGGACTGAAGTCTTGGACAGTTGTGAGCCCCATGTCGGTGCTGGGTCCTTCGCAAGAGAAGCCGGTGCTCTTAACCACTGGGCTGTCTCTCCAACCACTAATAAAAAGTTTTAAAAAGAAGAAAAACAGCCGGGAGTGGTGGCACAGGACTTTAATCCCAGCACCTGGGAGGCAGAGGCAGGTGGGTTTCTAGGAGTTCGAGGACAGCCTGGTCTACAAACTGAACGCCAGGACATCCCGGACTACACAGAGAAACCTGCCTCAAAAAACAAAAGACCTAGAATAAAGAAAGTAGGAGAAATGCTTACAACCTCTGAATAATATTGAGAATACATTATAAAAGCTCAAGCTGGGTGTGGCAGCACGGGAACTTACAACCTCAGCTCTCAAGAGGCCAGGGCAGGCAAATCACAAGTCTGGGCTACACAGTGAAACTTTATTAACAGCGCAGAAAAGTTTCCCTAAGGTGCAAGAAAAGCCCTGGTTCTATGTCCAGAACTGCAAAACATAAAGACCTCAGGCTTGAGGGACTAAATCACAGAATTTATCTTATTTCCAGAATTTACATATTTCAGACCTTATCCAGACTTACAGAATTTACTTTAATCAATGCAATTTTAAAAATAATAACAACAAAAAGTTAGGTGTTGGATAGATGGCTTAGTGGTTAAGAGCATTTGCTGATCTTGCAGAGGACCGGGCTTAGCTCTCAACACCACAGGGCAGCTTCAGTCTGGTGCCCTCTTCTGGTTTCCATGGGCTTACACTCAGCGCACTTAATATACAAGCTAGCAAACATTTGTACACATAAAATATAAGCAGCACTTAAAACTCAGAGATCCACCTGCCTCTGCCTCCCTCCCGAGTGCTGGGACTAAAGGTGTGTGCCACGACAGCCCGGCTATAGTAACAAATTTTAAAGCAGAATTATTTCATACAGTTAAAAAAAAACAACTGAGAAGGAACAAAGACAAATGAGAGCTGGTAACAACTTTCCTGTTAATCACTAACTTCCCTTAGTACAGTTATAACTTAATTGGTGACATCAGCAAACGCTGGAGATGCCAGCCCAGGAGAAAGCTACCACTGGGATGATCTCCGCCCTGGGGAGGGGGTCCGGCAGCAGCTGTTTCACAAGCTGCTCCACCTCTGTCCAGAGGAGCAGAGATGGCTAAGACCCAGGCCTGCCTGAACCCTGACCCTGCTGCTTACACACAGTGTGATTGTGAGTTAGCCCTTAACCGGAAACATCACAGAATGAGCCAGGGCAGATTACCAGTGCCACAGCTTGAATTTCCACGCTGCTGCCTACCAGAGAAAAGGCACTGAGCAAGTCACTTGGTCTCAACTACCTCCATTTTCTCATCTGTCAAGGTGGGACCCACTTCACTGGATGACCGCCAAAATTTAAGGACCAAGGTGATGGTGAGGTGTTTTATTAGCCACTAACTAACTACCTAAACTGAGATATTAAAATCTGGCCCTACCAGTTCAGACTGACCTATATTATATAGTGACGCAAAAGGAAAAGGAGAAAGCGGGGCAACCCCTGAAAAAAGGCTTGGCACTGTAGCTCAGCCGTAGAATATGGGCCTCATATGTACAAGGCCCTGGATGCAATCCCTAATACGGAAAAGAGGCCAGGTGTGGCTGTGCATGCTTTTAGTCCCTTGGGAGGCAGGCGGAGGTAAATGGATCTCTGTGAGTTCGAGGTCAGCCTGGTCTACATCTTGAGTTTCAGGACAGCCAGAGCAAATAGTGAGACCCTGCCTCAAAAGGGAGAGAGAGAAGAAAGAGAATATAATCATTCAAAGACAAGATTGCTCTCCCAACTTTTACTTTCAGCTCAGACATGAACATGTTAATTAAACTGTCATGGGACCCTGTCACTAATTGCGTTTACATTCAAGACGCATAACTCTGGCATCCTGTCAGTCACTCAAGCCTCAACACACCTAAGGGTACTCTGGCTTTAGATCCCACAGATGGGACACAAAGCTGGGGACAACAAACAAACAAACAAACAAACAAACAAACCATCATTCTGCAGTCAGGAGGTAGCAGCAGACAGATTTCTCTGACCTCAAGGCCAGCCTATGCTATATAGCAAGTTCCAGGTCAGCCTGAGCTATAAAGTAAGACCCTGTCTGAAATAAGTAAGTAACCAAATAAATAAAAAAAAATTTTGAGGGTTGCTCTTCGGTGGACTATCCTTTTTGCCATACATCTGGAAGGACCAGAGAAGGGCACAAAAGGCAGCCTGCAACTCAGTACTCTGAATTCACGAAGAACCAGGTTAATCGATGCTTTGAGGAGTGGATCTGAGGCGAAAATGAGACTAAAACTCACTGCTCAAAAGGAGGGGCTTTGTCTGGCAGGGTGGCACATGCCACACTCCCAGGATTTGGAAAACCAAAATAGGAGGACCAGGAGTTAAGGCCAGCCTCAGCTACACGGTGAGTTCAAGGCCAGCCTGGGCTACAAGAGTCCCTCTCTCAACAAGGAAAACTGGAGGAGGGGAGGCTGCCTATCCCATCAGCTAGCTGGGAGCTCTCTGTGCTCTTCGCTGTCAGCATGAGGGCTGGGTATGTGAGGGGAGGAGGTCGAAGCAGAGCTGGTAAGGAGAGCTGGCGAGCAGTTAGCCGTTTCCAAGGCTGCTCCCTTCAAAGATGCGGGGAAGGTATCCATCCCTACAAAGCAGATAAGGGAGCTGGGATCTGGAGGCTAGCAGATGAGATCCGGAAGCAGCAAAGTCAGGAACTGAATTTTTCATGAACTGAAGTCAGGTCTGAATGACATCCAAGCCCTGGCATCCAGTGTGGGCTCAGCATGAAGACACGCATGCCCGGGATGCCATGGAGAGCCAGGGAACTAACTCTGCAGGCCTCCACGCCGAGATCTGCCAATTTCTGTCAGTCCCACTGGGGACCCTAGATCCAGGCTGGGGATAGCCAGGGGTGCTGTCGAGGCCAGGCTGTCTCACAGGACTCCCGCTGCAGAGTCCTAGAGCACTGCTCCTACCTCAATACCTTTCTCAAGTTTCCCTTCATCGACTTCAAAAACACTACTAAGAAGGAAACAGTTGTGGGCGCCACAGGGTGATGTTACTTTGGCAGCTCCACCTGGATGGGCGTTCAGGTAGAGGTTGGTGTTTATGATGGATTGGTTTTCTCGTGTGGCCCCTTGATCCCTTCCCACGGCCTTGAGGGCAGCCTGTAATGCTAGAGAACTGGCCCCTTCTGGCTGTGCCAGCACCCAAGCCTGAGGCTACCTGTGTGTCTCCAGGAGAGCTCTTCCCTCGCCCGCTGCTGGCATGGCTGCTTCCTTCTCTAGAAAGCACTGCTTTGGGCTTTGCAGGCAAGACTGCCAGGGCTCTGGGGTGCAAGCCAGTACCTGCAGGAGGGAAGACCCAGTGAGCAGAGCTCTGTCACCTGGGCCAGCCCTCGAGCTCATCTCACCAAGAGTAAGGGAGCCTCAGCACAACCGGGGCAGTTAGGAGTCCTTGATCAGAACTCTAGGAACTGCTGAGGGCACCGCAGACTCCAGTGGCCCTGGCTGTTCAGTACGCATGAAGGGCGCTTTCTGCTCCAGCAGAGATCTGGGTATCTTTTCTGTTTGCCCTTTCTTACCTGTTAAGTTATTCTTAGGGGGAAAATGTTTAGAGAAGATTCTTTGAAATTAGCCAGGCATGGTGGCTCACATTTGTAATCTGAGCGCTTGGGAGGCAGAGGCAGGAGGATTGCTACTGGATCTATATAACTAAGTTCCAGGCCAGCCAGGGTTACATAGGGATGCGAGCGTGCGAGAGAGCACATACGTGCAGGCATACACACACACTCATGCATGCACACACACCACAAAACAAAAAGCAAGTAAATAACAAAATCCAGATACCTTGGAGGAAAGAAAGAGACAGAAAACACACACAGCTCTTACCAGAGGCCCTCGCTCTGCGGTCTCAGCCCCACGCCTGGCTGAACGGGAGCCACTGCAGTCTTCCTAGGGAGCTGAGCCAGAGGCACTAGGAGGAGTAGGGCAGAGGGAAGACTCCAGTGTGTGGCCACCCCCCTGACTACTGGGCTCAGGGTGAGTTATCCTAAAGCCTCAGGTGGCTCCAAGCTCTAGAGCTCAGCCTCAGGGGAACAAAATGCATGAAGGGAAGTCGGAGTGACTCGCATCCCAGAATCCTGGAGCGTGACGCTTCCTTGCCATCCTCAGGCTCCTAAATTGGAATCCTGCTGACTGTCACCCCTCGTTAGGTCCAGAAGCACCTACAAACGGTGGTCTGCCTGGTCTGTTGGCGCACTACTGTGATATTTACTAGGTTCTGGTTTTTTTTTTTTCTTGACTTAACCAAGAGAAGGAAAGCACTTAATTTTTCTTCGAGGTAACTAGATGATAACTTGCCACGAAGCTCAGTAAAGAAGCTGACCACAGAGGAGAGAGTAGAAACTTGAAGGAACCTGAAGTGGCCAAGCCTCACCAGCTGGCCAGGAGATCCACTACCCTGCCCCCAGACTCCCAGGAGCACAACCATGAACACAGAGACATACAGACAGGCTCCACTACAAACTTGGCCAAGGCAAGAGTGTTTCTGAGGCCACCAGGTGTACTTATGACCCTTCCCCTCCCTTGTCACACGGAGCACTTCCTAGGTGGCCAAGCTGGATTTCAATCTTCTAATCTTGTTTATCTTTGAGGACTGGATGCCTGAAGGGCCAGAAGTTCCATTTCAGGTGGGCTAGCCAGAACTGGCTGGTTCTAAGATGGCTGCCAGAGGGACCTCCTGACAACCGGCCTCCCAGTTGTCTTAACTCTGACTAGAAAGCACACCGCTCTTCAACTGCACCCCAACTGTGACAACCTAAATATTGAGCAAAACTAGGCCACTTCTCACTAAGGTCCCCAAACCCGGCAAAAGACAAACTGCCACCAATTTTTTTGTCCTTTGCAATGGAGGGTTATGGGGAAAGTTCCTGGAGGGCTATGGGGAGAAGAAACCGGGACATGGACAGCCGTCTCTCTCTCTGGTAGAAAGGTTCCAACACACACACCGGCTTGGGGATACCTGCCAGTTCCAGGAGACTCCGTCCTCCCCTTCCAAAAGAAATGGGAGGTACTCTACCAAAACAGCAGACTAAACCATGTCTGCACTACAAGGAATGTTCATAAAAATCCCAGCACAGAGGACAGACCCATCCCCTCTGCCTCACTTTATACTCCAGACCCAGAGAGCAGATCTGAACACCCTGAAACAAATCAGCCACACCTGGTGGGAAGAGAGAACAGATCATCAGGCAAACACAGGCAGAGCCGAGCAAACAGCGCCACACAACTCAAGGAAGACAGGTATGCCCTTTGCTATAACTGTGAGTCCATCAGACAACAGCACTTGCGAGGGAGACTGAATCAGGAGAGCCATGAGTTCTGGGTCAGCCTGGTCTTAATAGTTAAACTTTATCTAAAAAAAAAAAAAAAATTCATGAAACAGGGCCCAGAGAGATAACTCTGTCCCCAGTACTCATGTAAAAGGCAGAGATATCGAGGTATGGAGGTAGGGGCTTATGATCTCAGCCACTGAGGCATCCATATGGTAGCTCACAATCATCTATAACACAGTTCCAAAAAAACCAACACCCTCTTCTGGCCTCCACACACTCTTGCACACACATAATGCACATAAATTAAATTCACACAGGCAAACACACATCCACATAAAATAAACCTTTAAATTAAGGCAGGGCAAGGGGAGGTCTTGGCAGGTAGCCCAGGCAGATCTGGAACCCATGGTCCTCCTGCCTTGCCTCCTAAGAGCAGCTGTACAGATGTATACCACCTGTACAGATGACGTACACCACCTGTACAGATGACGTACACC